TTAATAACATATAAAAGTTATATTAAAAATTATACAAAAAATTTATCTTTGTATCATTACCCAAAATTATATTATTCCCCCTAGCTTTCAACTATAATACACTCCAGCCAGGTCTTCATTGCCGGTAATTATAATCCCTCTACTTTCAATTTCATTCATTGTCTTCCCCATACTTAGAAATCATTCAAAGACCTCCCTTTACTCTTCCAAAACATACTATGATATGAGCCTCGCTTTACTTTAAGTTTTCATAACAATTACCTCCCTCGGCTAACACCCAGCTAACACCGTTACTAACTCTCATTTAATAGATTCTTTAATTTTTTACTGTTAAAATTTAATCCATTCATTAATTTATTATTATTATTTGTTGAATTGCATTGAACGAGCCCTACTTATTTCCATGTCGACAAGGGCCATATATGTTTTTCTTTTTCTTTTTTTCGAAAAGGACCAGTTGAAAACTCCCTACTTCTTCCCTTATATCCCTTTCTTGATCCCTAAATCCCTAATCTATTTGAAGTTCTCAATCCCTAAATCCCTAACCCATCTTCTGAAAACTTCATTCTTCTTCCCTTAAATCCTTAAATCCCTAACCCATCTAAAAATCCATTGAATTTTCAGAAGTTGTTGATTAAAGAAAGAATCTTCTGAAAACTCCCTTATTCTACCCTTAAATCCCTAAATCCCTAACTCATTTGAAATTCGATTGAACCCACCTAATGTTCTTGTTTAAATTCCTCCAATGTCTAAATCTCCCTCCTCATTAATCATCCTCTCTATTGTGCTCCTCTATTGCTTTAGGACAAGATTGGTGTCATGTAATGTTAAAGAGACTGGGGTTGGGGGCGCATGTATGTGGACTCCACCACAATTGTGTTCAAATCATAATTCTAGAGTTTTTTTTTTTTTCTTATTTTTCATAATTCCAGAGTTTGCTTTTGTGAAAGCCAAAAGAAAAAAAATGCTTTCATGGCAAAAAAAAATTTTTTTTGATAAAATTTTTTTGTCATATATTGTTTTATGGCTACTAAGAAAGAGTAGACAAATCTAATGAATAATTGTTCAATTTATTCTTCTAAAAACTTAATTTTAAGGAGTGTTTAAAATATAATTCTATCTAATATGACAAATAATAGTGTTTAAATTATTAATAATTGAATAAAAAAAGTGTTATGATCATTTTAATTGTGACGAGATGGAGTGAATAGGTTGAACTTTAGTGTAAATGCATCTATTAAATGAGAGTTCGTAACGATGTTAATTAGCTACCTAAGGGAGGTAATTGTGTTATGAAAACTTAAAGTAGAGGGAGAACAATAGTATGTTTTTGAAGAGCAAAGGGAGATCTTTGAATGATTTCTAAACCTGGGGAGGACAATGAACGAAGATTAAAAGTAGAGAGACTTGGCTTTAATCCATTTATCTATTCCTCAGAGCTACAGCTTCGGCAACTATGGGGGAAGAGCATGTGCTCCCTTAATCTTAATTTAATTGTCGCAGCTTTTATAAATTGGCATCCTAATTGAATTATCGATTTTTATTTTAAACAATGCATTAAAATTTTTTTCAACTTTACCCCTATTGTAGTTTCATAATCATTCTTTTAACAAACTTTAATAATTACTCTATGCCTTCTTATTAATTGAGTTCTAATGAAAATAAATATGAAATTTTAACTGATGACAAATTTGTTTTTATAGAATTTGATAATTTTTTAGTAAACATTACAGAAAAAATGTAACAACTAAGTTGAGATTGAGAGTAATTATATTACTCTTCCTTTGAATACCAATAACTTATTGATTCGAGTAGAAGAAACTTGGATTCTCTTAAGTAAGGTTTCAAGTTCGAGTCTTGTGAATAAAGAAACAGGCGTTAGGAGAATTTCTTCCCTAATGAAGTCTGACGCGGTTCGATTCTGAATTAATCAAATCCAACATAATTACCAGATACCGAAAAGTTAGTAAAAAAGAAATTACCCTTTCCTTGAATCAAGATACATCATGAAGATCACCGTCTATTCCTTTCCCTGCTTCTCCTGTTATTGAAACAAAAGCTTTATGACGGTTGACTTTAAAGGACTCTACCGAGGGCTTACTCCGACGTTTCTTACCGGTTGGGTCCATTAGGACAGACCTTGTTCACAACCAATTTGTAATATGAACAATTATTGGTATATATTATGATTCAACACACTGTATAACATATTTATTAAAAAATTATTATTTTTAATTTAAAATTAAAAGTAGATAAATTTAAAAATATAATTATGCATATAGAATATAAAAATCAATTGAATTAATTATATTTATATTATATTTTTAGTAGTTACATTGAAAATGTGTTAGAAAATGTGTTAAATTGATAGTGTACATATAATTTTCCTTATAATATATTAGCAATTATATTACAATAATGTCAATTGAGAACTCTTGATGGCCAAAGAACATTAGGGGGAAAAAAAAAGAGGGATTACTAAGCTGGAAACTTGAATCCCTTGTTCCCTTCAATTACTTTTAGTTACCATATATCCACTCACTGCAAATATTTTCTTTTATTATAAACCCAGTTACAAATCATCATTCATGAAATGTTAATGACGTACGGAGAATAATGAAGATGGTTGATATCTCAAGAATAAGCTAGCCTTCGACCACTTTAAAAGGTAATTAATCTTAAGGTGCCTTCAAACTAACCCAAGAGTATTCTGATTATTTTCTTTTAGAAAAAAATCATAAGATATTAATTAATGTTTTCTTTGTTTATTTTTAACAGATTTAGTTTGATTTTAACTTTTCATATAAATATTTTAAATAAAAATTTAATAATTTATATAAATAATAATTGAAAATTCTTTGTTGTATATAAAGTTCTTGTTGAGTGCTTTTATTTGATCAAAAATAATTTTTAATTATCATTTATATAATATGTTAAATTTTCATCTAAAATTTATAATAAAAAAATCAAAGTAAATTAATTAAAAATAAATAGAGAGAGTAATTTATAACTGATATAGTGGGACATGACTGATAATTAAAAAAAATATAAGATGTTAACCATTAACCTACAACAAATTAAAAGGAATTTTTTTTAAAAAACAAAAATATTTTATTTTTAACTACAGGAGGTGCTCGAATCTATTTACATCAGAAGGCAGCCTCTGATTCAAGCACTGCCTTGCCAATTAATGGTGCGTCATATGGTTCCTTAAGAGATTTTACAACAGCTGAGATTTAAAATCCAATCCGAAGACGTAAAACTTCCTCCCTTATCTTTATTTTTTACCCACAAGAAAGATCTCACTTGTATTTAATCAAACATGCAATGCACATTCGCAATGCCCGTTTTGAATACTACCTCATCCCTGGTATCCCGAATTGTCCAAACCAAAGAGTGCCAAACAGCAGCCCAGCCCAGTCGGTTATTTTGCTTTGGATACCTTGTCTTCAGGCTGCACAAAAGAATCCCTGCATGTTCCAGCAAGAATAGTACTTAGACCCCACCATTGAATGCATTTTGGCCAGGGTTGAAGCAACAGTACAGTGGAGAGAAAGGTGGTCACTATCCTCCACACATCTATTGCATAACGTGCATATACCTGCTTCTATTTCTGTGTTATTATTCGCCTTCTAAATAATTGAGTGTCTACTGTCTAGTCATTTTAAAAGGATGTAACTGGACACGAAACCTTCTTTAAAATAATTGGCGTCTAATCGTTTTAGATTCAGATCTTAGTTCTCTATATTTGAATACAATAGAGATATAACGGGAAATCACTGAGGGACAATTGATTTATACAAAATTTTTATATAATTTCATATATTATTTAATAATTTATTTTTTACTTTTTTATTTATAATATTAAATGTATTTATTTATTTAATAATACATAAAAATTATAAATAAATATTATATAAAAAATTATATATATGTTATAAAAAATGACAGTTATTAAAAAAATAAAAAAAGGTACAGTACAATAAAAATTAGGAATGTGTGGAGCTGGGCCCTTTGTTTCATTGCGTTAATTAAGCCTAATGGGATGTGTATTTGGCAAGGGAAATAGAAGGAAGGGAGGGAAGGGATTATACCTCATTTGAATTAAATGAGTAAATGAATTAAAAAAATAGAAGTAAGGAACTTCTTTCTTCTTTTTTTTTTTTTTCTTTCTTTCTCCTCTTTTAAACCTTTTGGATAATCAAATAAAAAAATTTTCTCCTTCTATCTCCCCTTCTCTCTGTTGCCTTGATCTAAATATACCGTAGCACTTCGATTTGGTCAAATTAAAAAATCATCGTTAACTTTATTTGTTCATTACTATTATTATTATTTTCTTGTCGAGAAGAGTTGGGAGAACTTAATTAATATTCTCACTGACAAAATTTCTGGGATTACACTGAGAAATGAAAACGGACAGCGAAATTAACCATTGCGCTTGGAAAAGAGAGAACCTAGAGGAAAAATGAGAAGAGAGTGGAGAGCACGAAGTGAAAAAGGTGAGCAGGAACTAAAAATAGGAGCTTCGTCCGGTGGTGTCACTCTTCTAGTCTTCGGTCTTCTTTTTTGCTGCATTAAATAGGGGTCCATGTTTTTCATTTTTTTTCCCTAAAGTCCCTTCTATAGACCTTAAAGGCCGATGAACACCACACTCCCATACAAATGAAAGTGATAAATAAATTAAAAATTAAAATAATAATTTTAAGGTGATTCAATTTATATAATTTTTAAGGATTTTATATCCATAAAAAAATAAATTTATTTTTTAAAAAAGTATAATATTTTAAAATTTTTCTAATTCAAGAAACTTTAAACTTTAGTTTTAATATATAAAAACTCTTAAATACCCTGAATAACCTTTAAACTTTAAACTTTAGGGTGGTGCCGTGTCTAGCAACTAGCAATAGGCTGGAGAAATACTTCTTGCAATAAGTCTTTTGTCGAACACTAAATGCCCTGAATAAATTTTAACAATTTACTACATGGTAATAAATGTCATGGACAGTGGAAATAAAAAACTCAAAGAAACTCCCATTTTTAACATTCTTCACCAACTTTCAATGGGGCTGGATCCATGTACACAACAGAGCCTGGGGCTTTTACTAATTTTTAATTTTTTCAGGCCCAGGGTAGGTAGTGCCTGTGCCTTCTACCGTCCGCCTTTCTCTGGTTTGCGCTGGGTAGTTGTATGATGTCTGTCACTAGAGAGGGAAGGGCGTAGCAGGAAGGAGGGTGCGAAACGCAGGAACGACGCATGGCATTTGCTGTCGTTTCCAGGCGGGTTTGGTGCAGGCTTGCGACTGTTGGTTCGTGTGGACTTTTTTGCAGGCTTTGGTTGTGAGTCTGGTGCATCGTTCTAGTCTTGTTGGCTCCCAATTTAATGTTTGGGGTTTTCAAGGGAGTGGAAGCAGAAGGAGCTTGCTTGTTTTTTGTGCTGTTTGGACTCTGAAAATTGGGCACATGAATAGCTTAACACGCATTCAGGCTTATTATGAACATGGAGTTCTACATTGAGTAAAAAAATTTTAGGTTTAAATATCATTTTGATCCCTCAACTTTTCACTTTGACATCAAAATTGTTTTTCAACTTTAAAAATTATCAAAATTATCCTTAAACTTTTATTTTTAGTACCAAAATGATTATTCCGTCAGTTAAATGAATAGGTGGCACGTTAACTTGCCAACAAATCAATTCTTTTTTTCATAATTGATAACATGAAAAAAAAAACATAATTAATCATTTTTTTTATGAGTTGACATTTTTATTTAATTTAAAAACACTACAAGAAAACTCAGTATCACCGACCAAAAATCACTGACATGAAAAACATTAGTCGGTAAATGAATCACTTATCGACAAAAATCATGTCTGAACCATCAAAAACAGCAATATTGAAATTAATTTACATTATTCCCATTTCAGAGATAAACTTCGTCGGTAAATTTGAAATTACACACCTGTTTCTTGTCGGTATTAATATTGAATATCCACTCCCCAAACTCCAGCAGATTTTTCAGGCGAGTGAGACAGAGCTCACAGGCCGACTAGATCTTTGTCGATAATGTTTAACTTCTCCAACAAAAATCTTGTCGATAAGTTGGAGAGTTCTTGGTAATATAAACACTCAGTAGCTTTTCAGGGCCGTGGGTGGGAGTTCGGGCCTTTTAAAATACCGACGAATTTCTCGTTGGTGAGGGTGATATTCTGCAAGAAGAATCTCGTCGGTAAATTGCAAATTTCTATGTTATGCCTGCTGCATCAGCTTTTAGGCGGAGTGAGCAAAAAGAGCTAATGCCGATGAAGTTCTTGTCGGTAAACTTGCTCCATGCCGACTATACTTTCGTCGGTAATCCCAGCAAATTGAGCTGCTCACGCCTCGGCAGCTGATGCAGCCTTTTTCTCAGTTTGTTGAGAAGATTCCCGCGCCTGTAGATGATGGGGCTGATCAAGCAGAACC